TGGAGTGTTACAAGCTGTTCGTGCATAGATAAGATCCCTAAAGTTGCAAAGACTAAAGTCTCAAACCCAAAGAGATATTCTTTATAAAAGTTAAGACTCGTCTACGCCTACCTAAAACGCCTCGTTTAAACACACCCCCACACTGTGTGGGAAGATTTGCATAACAGCGCCCAAATGTATATGCAAAGAAAGAAGGCGTAACTTTGATTCTCTCTGCAGTATTGTTGCCGCCACTGTGTGTTTCGTTATGAAAGCGAAACTACTTTGTTTGGTCTTTTGAGCAGTGTAGAGTAGCGCTTGTTGTTTGTTGTTTCTCCGATCACAAATGCAGAAATGAATTTATGTTTACACGGCGCGATGCAACGCAACGCGTAAAATGACAGTATAAGTCATTATAATCAGTAATTATGTCCCCACTGGATGCAACAAATGCCTCGTTTGTAATGGGTTTTATTGGTTTTGTCTCGTCGCGCCGGTACACGGCATCACAGTATGGTAAGGGGCGTAACATTTCCGTTACATGCTTGAGGTATTCGGCCAATCACAACGCACTGGATAGCTGGCCAATCAGAGCACCCCTCGCTTTTCAGAACGATGAGCTTTGTAAAAATCTACGCATTTCAGAAAGGCGGGGCATAGAGGAGAAACAATAATGTACAGTATGTGGAAAATAATGTTTTTTTACCTTAAACTGCATAAACACATTTCATTACACCAAGTACACAAAATTATGTTCTTTTTCAGCAACGTCATATGACCCCTTTAAGCAATTATTTACGTTAAACATATTTAAGCTCAGTTTATGTTGGAAACTTTCGCTACTGTGGACATTTACATGATAAATCCTGAACTAAAAAAAATTAAGTCGAAAATTAATTGTTATTTTTGTCATTTTTCTGAACCAACAAATGTCATTTCCACCACATTTCAAATGGTGCATTATGTGGTGGAACTGACAGCAGTGGCAACAACATTTTAAACACTTATATGTGACCCTGGACCACAAAACCAGTCTTAAGTAGCTCGGGTATATTTGTAGCAATAGCCAAAAATACATGGCATGGATCAAAATTATCGATTTTTGTTTTATGCTAAAAATCATTAGGATATTAAGTAAAAATCATGTTCCATGAAGATATTTTGCAAATTTCCTACCGTAAATACATAAAAACTTCATTTTTGATTAGTAATATGCATTGCAAAGGACTTCATTTGGACAACTTTAAAGGCGATTTTCTCAATATTTAGATTTTCTTTTGCGCCCTCAGATCCATATTTTCAAATAGTTGTATCTCGGCCAAATATTGTCCTATCCTAACAAACCATACATCAATGTTTGCAATGAAAGCTTATTTATTCAGCTTTCAGATGGTGTATAAATCTCAATTTCGAAAAATTGACACTTAAGACTGGTTTTGTGGGCCAGGGTCACATATATTTATATGTTTCGTAAATATACACAATTAAACTTTTGCATAATTTGACAAAATTACAGCTTGATTTACCTTGATTTTTCTTTATTTCACATGTCTCATATTTAATTTCAAACGTGCTCTTGATTATGTCTTTGGTAACATACACTATTTATAATTTAGCAATGTGACCAAAAATGCATAATTTTCGCACAAGAATAAAATATAAAATACTTACAAATATTGATCTATACACACATTCACAAAAACATACACACATACACTAACTTTACTTCAGCAGTACAAATAATGCATCATTTCACACAATAAATATTATACATAAACAAATATTAAGAAATATTGATATATAAATTAATAATATATACATAAACATTTACATACATATACAAATGCATTACAATGTATTTTAGCAATATGAATAAAAATTTATAATTTTATACAAATAATACACACACATATCTATCTATCTATCTATCTATCTATCTATCTATCTATCTATCAAAAGAATGAAATAAAGAAAGTAAGAAATTAATGGGACAAATATATATGCTATAGCAAGAAATTATTAGTAAAACCTAAAAGTTAGTTATCACAAAAATCTGTACCTGGGGCATAAAAGTAGTTGAAGAAACACCCATATAAAATATGAATATGTATGCGTTACATGAACATATATATAAATATTTACATATTTTGCTTACCTATATAGAAATTAAAACCCAGGTTCATTAAGAAGCTCACACTTATGGAAAAAAATCTAATAGCTGCGACACAAATTGTGCAAATATAAACTATGTGATCGACTTGTCCTTTTTTTCACACTAATGAATAGACACCATGAAGTGCAATTAGCTCTGAGCGTGTAATCATCTCTAAATTTGATAGACAGTCGCAGGTCAGGCTGCATGAGCTCTGATTGACTTTCCATTAAGGCCTCTCCTGTTTATCTCTCCCACAGCTCTGTCGTAGCCCAGCTCGCCGGCAACTATTTGCATATTGATGACAATAAGTGTAACTGGCACTCACATCAGGCAAATGACAGTGTCATCTATACTAATGCATCCGGATGATCGCCACTGTGATCGCACTACTCCACTGAGGCTTTCCTGTTCAATCAAACGTCCCAGAAGGCATTGTGTTTACCCATCTAGTCTAGACTAGCTCTTAGGATGTTAAGACAACTATAATTTAAATGCTGAGTGAAATGTCAAGTGTGGAGTTTGTTGACCTTTCGTTGTTTTCACTATTGAACACTTATTTTCTAGAGGTTCTTGTTAAGAGACTCTTCTCTATAGTAAATGCTATTATTATGTGCTAATACTTAATAATAATATTCGATATTACCCTACAACATTAAAAAAAGTCCCTCAGCAACCACCCAGAATTAGCAATCAGACATCAATATGTAAAAAAAAAAACCCAGACCCCTTTAGCAGCGGGCAAGCAACAACCCAGAATCCCAACAATCACATAGCAATGCACTAAAATCCCTTATAACACCTCAGCAACAGGCTAGCAACTACCCAGAACCCCCAGCAACTGCATACCACTGTATAGTCATGCACAAAAACAAAACCTCAGAACCCCTTAGCGACCAGTTAACAACTACCGAGAACATCTTAGAAACCACATAACAATGTATCCCCCCCCCCACAAAAGTCCCCTCAGAACTCCTTAACAAGAAGCTACCAACTTCCCAAAACACCCTAGAAACCCCATAGCAATGCACTAAAAACCACTCAGAATCCCTTAGTATCAGGCTAGCAACTACCCAGAACCCCCAGCAAAACATACTGGAGCAATGTGCTATAAAACCCTCAGAACTTTCTAGCAACCAGCTAACAACTGCTTAGAACACCCTAGAAACCACAAAGTAATGTGATAAAAAAAACACTTAGCAACGGGTTAGCAACTACACAGAACCCCAAAACCACATACTGTAGCTATAACTACCCAAAATTACCTAGGCCGAGAATACCACTCTGATAGCACACGTAGGTCTAAATCACGGAGATGTCTATTTGAAATCTATTTGACTATTTGACTATGATGTCTATTTGACATTTACATCTCCTAGACGTATTTTTTAAAGTGTTTGCTCATCTGCAATACGTCTATTGGACGTTTCCTTCCTTTCTGTGCGTTTAGAAAATGTCTTTAAGATGTTTATCATTTAGAATGTAGGTCAAATTGACATCTTAGAGATGTCCATCAGATGTTTGTACACATCAGATGCGTTCCAGATTAAGCGATCTTTAACAGACATCTCACAGACGTACGTGTGCTATCTGGGTAGCAAATCACATAACATTGGGTTAAAAATATTTCAGAACCACTTAGCAACAGGTTAGCAATTACCCAACCCCCTGCAACCACATACTGCAGCAAATCACTAAAACACAGTCAGAACTCCTTTATCAACAGGCTAGGAACTACCCATAACCCCCTGCAACCACATACTGTAGCAATGTGCTAAAACCCCCTCAGAACTTCTTAGAAACTTCACAGAACACCCTAAAACAACATAGCAATACATTAAAACCATTCTAAACTCTACAGTAAACATGCTAGCTGTTGAAGACTGTTGCAACCAAATAGCAATGTGCTAAAAACACTTAAAACCCCTTGATGAACTTCTTAGCAACTACCCACAAAAACCCCTTAGCAATAACCTAGCAACCCTAAAACCCAACCAACACCCCTTAGCACTAGCAATGTGCTAAAAATCTGTCAAAAGTTTATTAAATGAGTCAGTTGATTACTCTCTTACAGTTTTGGAGCAGTCGTCCAATTCTCCTGCACTTAGTACAGTAACTTGAGCAAATATTTGATTTATGCATGGGTGAAATTATTTTTAGACTTCTGCTCTTCAAGCACCATTGAAAATCAAAGTAAAATACATGTTGCTTAATGTGCCTTTTTTGGTCTGGAACTGGAACTAACGGGGATGATAAATGGACTCACCTGTTTTGGCTTTGCAGGATTGTCTGTTGGCCTGCAGGCTGAAGCCATCTGTGCAAGCGCATCTGTACGATCCCTGCGTGTTCATACAGATCTGACTGCATGTCCCATAATCCCTGCATTCATCATGATCTGCGGGCAACAGCAGGGCTACTTATTAAACGCTAAATGTGCTCAAATATGACCTAAATATGCAAACCCAACTCTTAATGTCACATTCCGCAGCAACCTATCAAAAATACATGAATATGCAAATGTATGTTTGGGGAGGGAAGGGTGAGTAAATTGCTGTTTTGGTTTACATAACCATAATTTATCATGAAATCAACAACAATTTATCCAAGGTTTGAGTTCATGCATCGGAAAGCTAGCTTTTCTAGAGACCTCAAAATAATATTAGTTTAGGCAACCTTTTATGAGTACTCTTTTTCTGTGCCTGATTAGAACTGCAAAATAAAAATGACAAATAATGTGAATATCTTTCAAATTACCCATGCTAAAAATTTATATTTTTCATTAGATATTATCTGAGAAGTTTTTATGGGTACTCTATTCAATGCCTGATTAGAACTGATACAAAACCAGGGCTGCGTTCAGCCCCGACAAAAACGGTGCAAAACGGTTTTTTTAACGGAAGCGGTGGTGCGTTGAACACCCTGTTCTGATGACGCAAGAGTTGCAACTATGGCAGCTGAGAAGGCCATTCTTTGTGTTCTTTTTGAAGAATTTTCGGAGCCTGATGAAATCGGTATAAATACGTGTTTAATACTGCAAAATACGCTTGATGGTACAGTCACTACCCTTGCCATCCAGAATAAAAGAGAACATCCCAATCGAGTGAAGGGATTTGTGGAAACTGTGGTTCCTAATTATTGTGATCCAACATTTGCCTCGCATTTCAGGATGAAAAGACAAACATTTCAGGTGAAGGATAATCCACTTCTTGCCTCCGAGACGGTGTTATGATCTATATTATTTTTATTGTGAGTATTAGGCTTATCATTATTGCTGATCACTGTTGTTGTGCTATGATATTGTAATATTTACCATTATATAATCAGAGGGGTATAGAAAAGTTTATGAAAGTGTCACTACATAATACAATAGCAAAATATATAAATATGTATAGTATTTTTATGTTACATTAATCAGTGTCTAGCACACCTTCCTAAGGAAAGGATATGGACCAGAAGACATTGCAATTACTAAATGATATTTA